AATTAATTTCTAGCGATATCATGTGATATTAGGTTCAATTACATTGATTACCGAGTATAAGATGTTCTTAAGTTTTAGGAAACTTGAGTTTTGGTAATCCTTTTCCGTTTCTCTGTTGATTCGAATATCTACTTCATTAGATCCTTGTAAGCCATACCTCCACTACCCTGTCAGTGAACTTTGTTTTCATCCTTGCTATCAGTGACTCACTGCTCCATTTTTTTTTTTTCAAATGCTCAATATTTATACCTCGGTATGGATGCTTGATTTATGGTCTCTGCAAGTGGTACTATGATGCTACGGTTTTAGTTCTAGTTGAAATGAGAATACGAGTGATATATGCCTGACTGTGCCAGATTTCATAGTACTACCGTTACAGTTATTGACGTTGATATTAATATTTGTGTATTCAGGAGCCATTCGTGAACATTCCGGATGATATGATTCGTGAAGCACTAAAAGTTGTCCTTGGTACCACTGAATATCATCTTAAAACTGATTGACTAGGTATTACTTTGTGAAGATTGTTGTTATCTAATTAGCTTAATTTCTCAATGCAGACGATAGGAATCACCCAGTTCTCATACATTGCAAAAGAGGAAAGGTAATCACCGTTTCCCCCCTATGCTTCCTTCCCACGAATCCAAGCTCACCACTCGCTTATCTATAAATTCTTCTCTCTGTCCAGCATCGAACAGGTTGTCTTGTGGGATGCCTTAGAAAATTGCAGAGGTGGTGCCTCACTTCTGTATTTGATGAGTACCAGAGATTTGCAGCTGCAAAAGCAAGAATTTCAGACCAGAGGTTTATGGAGCTGTTTGATATCTCTGACTTTAAGCATCATCCCATGTTATTCTCATGCTCAAAGAGGTGAAAAATGATTACAGAGGGTAGATCTTGTGCTGGAATAAAATGGAAAAGACAGTACTTCCCTGAAATCCTTCCAAGTAATTTAGAGATTTTTCTTTTCTTTTTTCTTTTTTGCATTTTTCCTTGGGGATAATGACGAATGTTTTCATGTTTACACCTCAAAGTATTCTATACACTTACAGCTGCCGGCACTCTTTCTGAATCACCCTGTTTGATTTGCAAGATTTCTTTGGTGGACCTAGGGCAGTACAACCTTCAAGCACCTTACAGTTCATATTAAAAGTTCTCAATCTTCATAACCCTGAAGTTATTCCTTCCCTAAATTATTATAAAAAGCAAGGCACAACTAGAGAGGCATGGCCCTTGTCTGTATTCCTTTTGGATATGAATACTCTTTGCATGTGAAAAGAACTATAATGTGCATGCGTTTAGTGTAATGTTTGATTTGTTTGGACCAATAAAACGGCAGTAACAATTTTCAGCTGTTTGATCATTCATCCCTGTCCCTGGTTCCTTCGAAGCCGAAGCTCGAAGCCTGAAGCCCAGTGGAAAAAGCAATCAATCAAAGGGACTTTATGCACCTTATCAGCTAATAATTCATAATTCTCGTTTTAGTTTCTGATGAAACTCTTGTCGGATTCATTCAGTGTATTGGAAACTGTATTTCACCATATGAAATTATTATTACGGACATCAGTGAACTCTTGATAAATGATTGGAGGACCATCTCCATAATCTTTATGGCTTAATTTAGGTCCATTTAGAGGGAATGACGAGAGATTCCATTCCCATATGGACTGGACTTCATTTTTCGAGGTTGCTACTGTTAGTGATGACGGGCAATGATTTCATAGTCGGTAGTGTTGATGGATTTCTATTCTGGCTTTGCCAATATATAATGATTAGTGGTTTCTGATTGTTCGGTCTTTTGTTCTTCTCAAAGCCCCTTGGCATACTCGGGGGTTAAAGTCAGCTGAGTGAGGTCGGATCAAATGTTGGTCCCACTAAAATCATTCCCTAAATTAGCCGCATAAGCTCTTCTGTCTTTGTTTTGGGCTTACCAGAAGGTCTCAATTCAATAGAGTTAGTATTCCTCACTTATAAACTCATGATCATTTCCTAAATTAGCCGAGGTGGGACTTTCATCATCCAACACCATTGTCCCAAATTCCATTGATAACCGAAGATTTTGGTTGTCCACGCATATAGAATTATTAGGTCATTAAACCCTTTAATTTTATGTCCAATACAAATATAAAATTTTAATTTTGTGTATTTTGATAATTTTGTAAATTCTTAAACTTACTAAATATACGATTAAAAGATTAAAATTCAATTCATTTTGATTAGGTAGGAATTTGTACAACACAAAATTGAAACACTAGGAGTTTGTGTATTTAAAAAAATATTAAGCGATTGAAAATTGTGGGACTATCCATTTTATTTTTAGACTTTATATTACATCATTCGGATCTCATTTCAAACAATGCTTTTCACACGTATATAATAATGAATTTAAAGGTGGTTCTAAAAGTTAAAATTTGTGAAATATTTTAAAATATTGTTATTCTAGAAATGTTTGGATTGATCTTTATACCGTCTTTTGAGTACAAATTAATAGCAAAGTAATACGATGTATATTTTATTTTATTTTATGAATTTATGTTTTCTTTAATAATAAAATTTGTGTGCGAGTAGTTTCATTTAGGTTTGGTATGTATAAAAGATATAGGTATGAGAATGTGAAAATATGAGAGGAAAATTTTGGTTATAATTAATATAAACAATTAATCATCGATGCACTAAATTCATTTAAAACTTATATACAGGGGAAATATTATATTAAATGTGGTTTAAGTCATTAGAAGAAAGGGTATTATCGTAAAAAAATTTCTTAAATAAAATTTCTGATGATACTTTGGCCCAATAGTCTCAGCCCACTGGCCCAGGAACACATATATATATCAATTTTCTTATTTCAAAAAATAAAAACTAGTTTCCTCCTCTCAGGAGTCGGAAATCGGAAGGATTTGAACCCTAATTTCTAGTAAATCGGACGAGATTGAAGGATGTCGGGGGTCACAAACACGCCGCAGGAGGAAGATAAAAAGCCTAACGATCAATCGGCGCATATCAATCTGAAGGTCAAAGGCCAGGTTGGTTTCCTTCTCGAGAAATTAAGTTCATGCTCGAAGGTTTTAATGCTGCTGATATTTCTCTCATGTGTTCGTAGTCTCTTGATGCTTTCTGGCTTTTTCCTTCTCTTTTCTCGCTCTGTCTACGATCGAATCGCTTTTGGTTGTTACCAAAAGTTGAATCCCGAAAATGGAACTTTTTTTTTTTTTTTTTTTTTTTCATCTTTCCCTCTCAGAATCTAGCAAAGTCAATTAAGTGATAGATGGAATTGTAGTTTCCATTTTTTGTGTAATAGTTAACAAAATTCATGTCATAGCTTTGATTGATCTTTTTGGCAAAGACTTCGTAGGTGCATGCTGTTATAAACTACTATCTGGGATACTGGGAGTGAATTTACATAGCCGTTGGTCTTCCTGTCCTGTCCTGGATAAGCCAGTGATTTTTTGATATTCTTCTAATATACTTTTCATTGGGATGGACTCATCACTTGTGCATCGAATATCTGCTCGATTGTAGCCTTGCTGAGCATTGGCTGCACACTTGCATTTTTTATCTTTCAAACTGCACTGTTGGAATGTCTATCTAAGCATGAGTACTAACGCATTTGTGGGGTTCCTTTAAGCTTCAATGAGTTGAGTTTCTCACAATTCTTTAACTCTATGGTCTCCGTTGTGATTAATGGTACAAATTATAGTGATTTGATTGGAGGACCGGTTTAATCTATCTATTGAGTTAATTTCTCAGTTTCTTCTCTGTTCCTTGTTTCACTTCAGCTTGTACTGTTTCCTCTCCTCCTCATTCTTCTTTATCAAGTTGATAATAACATCAATTCGTTCTTAATCAATTTTGGTTAGAAATAGTTTTCTTGAACTTCCTATAGTGGGATTCCTTGTTGCATTGTTTCACTTTTCTCCATAAAAGTTAATTTTTTTTGTACCAAAGAAGTATGTTCTGAAACTTTGATTTCCTATAGGATGGGAACGAGGTGTTCTTCAGGATTAAAAGGAGCACTCAGCTGAAGAAACTAATGAATGCTTACTGTGATCGACAATCTGTGGATCTGAACTCCATTGCTTTTCTATTCGATGGTCGTCGTCTTCGAGCAGAGCAAACCCCCGACGAGGTATCCCTTTCTCTGATCTAAGCACTATTAGATATCCCAATATTAAATTTCATGAATTTTTAGCAAAAGCATGTAATGTTTTCCAGCTAGAGATGGAGGATGGGGATGAGATTGATGCAATGTTGCACCAAACAGGTGGATCGAGTGGTTGATATGCGATATGTGGTCCTTTAGTATCTGTATTTTGATTGAAAAAGGAAAATGTGGGTCATTTAGATTCTTGCAGGTGGTTTATATTAGGTGTAGATTCTGGAAAGACTTCCCAAAGTTTATGCTTTATGTTGTGAGGTCAATATTATCTTCTCATATCACTTGTTACTTGGCTTGGCTCGTTGTATGGATTGAACGCTCTGTTTATTTGCTAAGTTAATTACAATGTACCTTCCTGGTTTCCTCCTCATATATATATATATATATATATACCAAACCCACTTGGAAGATTTTGAAAATGGTTTAGTCTCTCGTCGTGAATCCCAACGCAATTGATAGAAAAAAGTGTTGGGAATTTCTAATATCCTTTGGAATTTGGATTTTATAATATTCGAATTGTTTTTTTTATTATTATTCTTTTATACTTGTAAATAGTGGGAATCGAATTAGATGTTTTGTAATATTTAATTAATTAATTAAAAAATGTTGGGTACATGAAAGGCTTATATGAAAGGATATTACAATTTTATAATAAGTTTAAAGATTATAATTTCTTTATCATATTAAAATGTTTGGATATCCTAAAGGTGGGCCTTCTGACAGTCAAAGCCCAGTAAAAGCGAGGCCCAAATCGCCATAGAAAGCCCAAAAAGAGAAGGCCTTCCCGATTAGGGTTTGTGTTTGACGTCTATAAAATCTGACCGTCATCTTCCCCATTTGTCTATTCTGATTCAGTCTGCGTTCTTAGCTTCAGTCTTCTTGTATTCGTAAGCAAGGTATTTTATTATTGTTTATTTATTTATTTTACTTTTGAGTTTATATCCCAATGAGGAAATCCCGGAAATTGCAAGTGCCGTATGACACTTAGTGAATGATTTGAAATGGATATCTGAGGGATTCTTCTTCTTCTTCTTCGCCGTGCGGACCCTCCACCGCGGGTGACTGAACGAAGGCTTACCGGCGACACCATTGCCGGAAATCCTACGTAGACGATCTCCCCATCTCTAATGTCAAGTATTTCGAAACTAAATCCCGATTTAATTGGCTTAGGGGTTAGCCCGATTAGTGAGGGCAAAATGGTCAATTTGCACATATATATATATATATATATATATATATATATATATATATATATATATATATATGAGCATCTAACTTGACTATATAGCTGCCATCATTCTACCGTTCATTTTTATTCCTCACAAGATAAGAATAGAGTAGAGAAATTTGAACGGATAGTTTATCTGTTTTATTTGTGAAGGTTAAAGAGTTCATAGAATAGAGTAGAGAAATTTGAACGGATGATAAGAAGAATAGAATTGAAAATGGTAGTGGTAAGTTTCAAGCACTCTAAGCTTGCCCGCGTGTGGTAAGAAAGATTAGCCACAATATGAAGGTACCATACACTTTACCTTAACACAACATGGGAGTGGGAGTGAACTCGAATACTACAACTATAAATGGATTAGATTCTCCATAAAAATATCACATTATAAGAAACAATAAAAAAAAACTAAATGGGAAAGTTTTAAAGTTGATTTGGCCAAAGTTTTAAACCCAAAATTTTCACGTTAAAGTATGCTTGTGGTTGCAATATATAAGTAGCTTGATCCCCATGAAGTCGGTCCATGTGGTCGAGGAGGAGCAAATGAAGGAAAGGAATATGAAAATTTGATTTAAATCAATTAAATAAACATATGCACTGGATTTCTTTAAAACTATATATATAGGGGAAATATTATATTAAATGTGGTTTAAGTTATTACCAAAAAGGGTACTTACGTAAAACAATATAAATGATTTTTTTATATTAAAAATTTATGTTGATAGTCAGGTCCGTATATGAGTTTTTGGCCCAATATAGTCTGAGCCCATAGGCCCACTGTCACTTAAATATATGATTTCTTTTTTTTTAAAAAGGAAATGCTCATTTCCTCTTTTCAGGAGTCGGGGAAATCATAAGGATTTGAACCCTAATTTCTGGCAAATCGGCAGATTGAACAATGTCGGGGGTCACGAACACGCAGCAGGAGGAAGACAAAAAGCCCAACGATCAATCGGCGCATATCAATCTGAAGGTCAAAGGCCAGGTTTGTTGGTTGGTTTCTTTCTGGAGGAATTAAGTTCATGTTTGAAGGTTTTAATGCTGCTGATATTTCTTTAATGTGTTTGTGGTCTCTTGATGTTTTCTGGCTTTTGCCTTCTCTTTTCTCTCTCTTTCTACTATTGAATCGCTTTTTGGTTGTTACGGAAAATTGAATCCCGAAAATGAAAAAAAAAAAAAAATTCATCTAATTATGTTTTGTTCCTTTTTTTTTTTTCCTTCGAAACTTTCTCTCTCAGAATCTAGCCAAGTCAATTAATTGATAGGTGGAATTATAGTTTCCATTTGTTTTTGTAATATTTGCAGTTTTGGTCGCATTCAGACTGTTCCATTTTTCTTTTTGTTTGTTATACTCACTCTGGGTAACAAAATCCTGTCGTAGCTTTGATTGTTCTTTTGGCGAAGACTTCGTAGGTGCCATGCTGCTAAACTACTTCTGGGTTACTTGGGAGTGAATTTTACATAGATGATCAAGACTGAGTGCTGGTCCTCCTTTCCTGTCCTTGATAATCTAGTGATTCTTTGATATTCTTCTAATATACTTTTCATTGGGATGGATTTGCCACTTGTGGATTGAATACCTGCTGGGTTGTGGCCTTACCGAGTATTGACTTCACATTTACTTTTTTGATGTTTCAAATAGGGCTTTTGGGGTGTTTTTTAGCTTGAATACATGAGCATTTGTGGGTTTTCTCTGAAATTTGGTTGTATTCATTTGTTCATTTTGTTTGAATACATTACGAAGTAGATTTTTTCAATATCACTTCCAATGGAGTGGTTTTAATGTATTTTAAAGATTCATGTAAATGTGTTCTAAACCAAGCCTTAAAAAATAGAATGGATTTTCTAAGCTTCTATGAGTTGGAGTTTCTCACAATTCTTTCACTATTTCAACGAAAGGATCAGTTCGGCCATTAAATTAAATAAGAATAGTACTGTAAAGTCTGGCACATGTCTAAGCAGCAGAAGAATTAAGACAGTCTATCAGCCATCTTAATAGGCAATACATACCATGGGAGTGTACATCTGCGTGGTTTTAATTTTTTTTTTTTTTTAAACCTTGAGAAGAATGCTGCTTTGTGGTCTTGGTTGTGATTATTGATACAAATGACAGTGAATTGAGTTGGCGATCGGTTTAATCTATCTATTGAGTTATTTTTTTTTACTAAGGCTAGGAAGAGCAAGGAGATTGAAAGTGCTTATGAATGCTTAGCTCCATTTTTCTGTCCCACAATTTTCTATCTTGGGAGCGATTGATCCAATGTATTAATCTTCATAGTTAATACATTCCATGGAAATAATTTTATTGATCTTCCTATTGTGGGCTTATTTTTAATATGCCTTATTGCATTGTTTCACTATTCTCCATCAAAGTTTGTTTCTTTACCAAAAAATTATGGGTTTGTATTTGTGAAAGACTAACCTCTTAATTCTGAAATTTTGATTTACTATAGGATGGGAACGAGGTGTTCTTCAGGATTAAAAGGAGCACTCAGCTGAAGAAACTAATGAATGCTTACTGTGATCGACAATCTGTGGATCTGAACTCCATTGCTTTTCTATTCGATGGTCGTCGTCTTCGAGCAGAGCAAACCCCCGACGAGGTATCCCTTTCTCTAATCTAAGCACCATTAGATATCCCAATATTAAATTTCATGAAGTTTGTAGTAAAAGCATGTAATTTTTCCCAGCTAGAGATGGAGGATGGGGATGAGATTGATGCAATGTTGCACCAGACGGGTGGATCCAGTGGTTGAAGTCCGTGGGGTGTTGGATATGCTCCTTTAGTATTAGTATTTTATGTGTGTCATAATTATCTGCTTAAGCCAGCAGACTTCTAATCCCTGATGTCAATATAATTATTATTATCTTCTCGTATCACTTGTTGTTACTTGGGTGGTTGTATGGATTGAAAGCTTCAGCATGAAGCATTAGTAGCACATTTGGGAAGTTAATTACAATGTACCAACCTGTTTTTTCCTCCTCCACGTTGAAAATGGTTGACCATTTTAATTTCATTTGAAAGCTTCAGCAGGAAGCATTACTAGATGATTTGGAATCGCGAATACCATTAATTCATTTGAACCACGCAGAATGCTTCAAAAAAGAATGCTGATTCGACCTTTACTTTTATATTTCTTATAATATTTTTCATCATCCAATATTCGTTTCATTTCGAGTCATATCACAATTCGCTCCCGAATAATATGTCAAAATACTTAGTACTTGAGCGTTTCATTTTAGTCCTTCCTTCGTATCACGTATCTTTCGAATAATATGTCAAAGTACTTGAACGTCATGTCAAATAAAGTGGAAAGAAAACAATGTTGGCTCTTAAATTGCGATCACTTGCAGTTTGCAATTTGATTTCTTATTTAGACGGGAAATTCCTACCCCGCTATATCTATATATCGATCAATTCCGACTATTGATTATTTTCCGATCGAGATGTATGGATCCATGGGCCTATGTGTCTATATAGATTCTGTTCATGGATTAACGAAAATGTGCAAAAGCTCTATTTGCCTAGTCTCTTCCTTTTTACGTATGGCATCGCCACTCCCTTTGGCGGTATCCACTAATTCAGAACTTAATTTGAAAATCATATTTCGACCCGGACGTTTTCGGAATGCCCACGTCTTGCCTTTACTCCTATTTCAATGGGAATCTTTTTCATGGCTCAATAGATAATTTGATAAGCCAATGTTTAAGCCAATGTTTTTTTTCCGTGTTTCAGAATATGGTTAACTAACATGTTAACTAATCGATTACGATAAATTGGATCGAATTTTGCAATTTTTTCTTCTGCAGTACCTCAACGTGACATGAGCGTGAAAGGGGTTCAAGAATCAGTTTTCTTTTTATAACATCCCGATAAAAAATCTTTTACCTTTGGAACATGCAAATTCTGTACACTAATTTTGCATGTTATTTACATCCGGTGATTTACAACACATCATCTGGAAAGGAAACTAGAATTGATCTCAATTAGGAGGGACAAAAGGTAAAAGACCATACAACTTAACCTAAACCTAAAAGATAATTCAACTAATTCAGGCATATAATCTCTCGCTACCTTGAGCTTCAGTAATTTGAACCCCCTCCAACCGTGTTGTTGTAGGGAGAGAAAAAAAAAAAAAAAAAATCATGCTACTTTGTATGGTATAGTTATCTGCCTCCTCCGCTAAGATGTGCCTCGAGCCATGTCTTTCGATTAGAATGTACCGAGGGGATTATTATCTACTGTGCGTCGTAATCATCTGCTTAAGCCAACAGACTTCTAATCCGTGTGAACCTTACGGTTTTCCAAGGACTGTGAACACAACAAAATCATCGAACAGGTTCGGGCGTTAGATCTCAGGTTGCTCAAGGGCTTTAAAATTTTACTACAAACTACTCCAAGAACTATGGGAATAACCATTACATTACTTATTTGAAAGAATGAGATTGAAAACAACCTGTCCATATACCCTAGACAGACGTTGGGGCTTGTACATGCGTCTACTGCTGCTTGCTTCCTGCTCTGAGCCTCGTATTCGACCGCATAATCTTTCAAAACATTCCTGTACATAATTATAGATGCTATTGCATCATGGAAGTCAGTGATAAATTAGTGACCCTTTCTTCTATTTATACAAAAAAAATTGTGAAATTAGACTTGGCATAACCAGAAGCCAACCTGAGCCGATGTCTGTTGCAGGCAGTGAAGAAGGCAACAAATCCATTTAAAATACTTCTAAGAGCTCTAAAAACCTGAAGCAAAGAAATCGCCACAGTAATTGAAAAGTTGGCACAGTATAACACGAGTAGTTATTGTTCGATGTATAGTACCTGAGAGAAGAGATCATTCCAAAGTGTACGCAAAATGGAAACCTCAGAAGTGGCAACTGTTACCTCTGAAACAGAAGCAACTTGAAAAACACTACTAAGAACTTGTCCTACGTCTCCGAACATCTCATAAATGCCGGTGCATATGTAAGTTACGAAACTAGCTAACAAAAGAATGGTTCTGATCGGAACATATAGTATTTCTGAAATGATCCTCAATGCAGGAAGCAAAATCATTGTTACTGCAGAAAAAAGGAGGGGATTAGAAATGTAGTGAAAAAGATAAGGAATAAACAGGAAAAGCAGTATAAACCCACCACAGCTCCACAAGGTTGAGAAAATGAACCATATTGGCAAGAGCAACAACTCAACTGAGTCAACAACCATATCGCCACAAAAGTCTATCACATCCCAGATCACTGAAAAGAAGTTCCCAACAACTTTGATACAAGTTTTACAAATAGGAAGAAGGAATCCTAGAAGTTCCACGACCGTACTTGCCAACGGTTGAGCCAAAATTGCAAGAAAAGATCGTGTGGTACGTGAAATAGTAAGAAACCATGTAAGAGCTTTCTCAAAATTATGTAAGAACAACATTGTTCCCAAGTATTTGATCCGTGATACCATCTCCCAATTCTCAATCCAATCAAAAAGGGGTCCACACAAACGAGACACTGCTGCCTTCAAAAGCGGGACATTTTTGTATAAATCATAGAATCCTATGAGAGCTGTGATAACCGATACCAGTACATACAAAGCTCTTGCAAAAGGGCACATCCACGGACGATAGACATGACAAAACACCGGGTAAGATTGAAGGAAGATGACCCAAGATGGAAGACCAGCTTCTAACAAAGTGAGCAACCGTAGATCGGACATTATTACTTGCTTTAACTTAAATGGAAGGTCGCGATCATTGAACCTAAACAAAATTAATACATCTTTGTATTGTGTAGCCTCAACTACATCTTGACAATTAGCATCGTAAATCTCTGAGACACTGGGAAAACCACTAGTCCTGTTCTCCATCTCAACCAGATTGGTATCATCTTCATTATCTGAGCCAATAAATTTAGTTACTTTTCTTCTCTTGTTAGGACCAGTAGGAGGAGGCGTCTGTAGTGTATTCGCGCTGTCTTCTACAGTCGTAGAATGTAAGTTTAGTTCACCATCAGTGCACTCCAGAAGATCATTATTAATGCAGAAGTTTTTGTAGGAGATAATCTCGTCCTCCATAATTGGAATGCTATTATTGAGGAAATTGTCTTCAATATCATCAAAATCATCTACAGCATCATAGAAAATTTCTCCTGAAAAATGGCATTGAAAATGAAATTGTGAAGTGGACACTTTCGAGGCCATTACAGGTGCTAGCTCAAGCAGGTAAGCCATCAGCTACTCAATAGTTTCAACCAAAGACATGCTTAGATCATACAAGCGGATTGAACCAAATCCTACTAGCAGTTTCAAATATAAAAACTGGATAATAATCATGTTACATTTGTTGACGAACATTTGAAGGCAATACATAATTGATATAATCTAGAGACTCGAATAGAAAGAATTTGTTGGAGAAGACGAGGGATCGTGCTATCCATCCGCACACCATAGCCAGAACTATGTCAGTTGTTACAAAAGCTACAAATAACAATAGGCTCTAAGCATTGCAATATCATTATCAAACAAAGCACTTTGTAAATCATCCTAAATATAGTGAAGAATCAAGTGATCTAAAAATCAATGCAACCAGTGCACTGATATAGCCTCCACACGTGAACAACAGAACGTACATACTTGCATTCGTAGTATTATCTACGTCAGAATTAATTCGACACACTAACATTACCTGTGACTGATTCCAAATAACTCTTCAACAGTTGCTCATCTGAGGGTGAACCCAAGAACCAAGAAGATACGCTCCCTGCAGCATGAGATATGCAATCAAATTCCCATCGTTGCATATATTTAGACTCTACGGCCAGAGAGGTATCCGTCTGCAGGTGAGATGAAAATGATTGAGCACAGACAACTACAAGACAGAAAACCGACAAAGCAGGTGGAAGGGTAGGTACCTGAAGCTCATTAAAGTAGTTTATACCCCTAACATTGCTCCATGAAACTTCAAAAACAATAAAACCATACAATGTGCAATGCAGTTCATTGTTTAGGATAAAAGATCTTCGAAGGATCTCCACAGGAGGCATAGGAAGAAGAAGAAGTTTCTTTTGAGACAGGGTCACTGCATTGATCAATGAGAACCACAAACACTTCTTTTTCTTAGTAATTTTGGGTCTCTGATAAGCAACTCGTTCACTATTTCTATCCCTCCGTACTTTCCTGTTTGCAAAAGGAGAGAGCCTCGACTGAAAAGTAGAAAGGTAATTAAGTTTGAGTATCAGAAAATTGATAAACAAAGTTTAACAGGATTGAATTTGATACAAACCTTCGTAACCATCAGTTGCCACAACCGAGCAGGCCGCGAACCAAATTCTCTCAACCATGGCCGATTGTCCACCAAAATTAAGAATTTTTTACTCTCATGCGCCACGAAGAGGCTAAGATCCGAGAGATAAGACTGCAAGTCGCTGAATTGATGAAAAACAGTTGGAACATTGAACAAACATACTATTCACCAACCATTGAAATCGGCGACCGAAACTCCAGTAAAAATTCATCAATACGATTAGAAATACAGTCAAAGCATTGCAATTACACAGGAATCCTTCAAATTATTTCGAATATCAAACAAGTTGAACGCGAATTCATTTAAACGAATACAAAAAGAACAGACAAACCCAACATTCATCTTCAAAAAGAGAAAAAGAAAAAAAGAAACCCTCAACAACAATCATATAAACGAATAGAGAAACTCTTAACGAAAAGGAGTTAATCCAAGGAAGAAAAAGCATACCCGATTTGTAAATTGGTGAGAGGAAATACACAACGATCATCATCAACATTCCCCATTAACGCCAAGTCTGATTCCCAAGTTACCACCAATTACAGCTTTGAGAAACGACACCGAAATCGGAAAGACGCATACACGCAACCGATGCATGTTAATACAAAGACAAGAATTAATTAATAACCAAGACAAGGCAGGGGAGATTCCATAACAAAACAAAACAATCACCGCCAAATTTCATCCGCCAAAATTCAAGGCGCTCGTCTGTGAAGAGGAAGAGGGCAAAAGGAATTTCAATTCACCGAATTCGATGAGGCTTGGGAAAAGAAATGTAAAGAAATCGAAAGAATTGCATGGGTTGGAAGGCGAGAAGAGAACGTGTCCAGGGTGAAACCAGAAGCGTGGCATATATTGTCATCTAAAGGAAGTTTAAAGGAGAAAAGGGGTTCATGGTGAAATGGAGGCATTGGGATCTGCCTCTTCCCGCCATTAGAGAAAACAAGAAGGAAGAGAGAGAAAACCAGAGATCTCGGAGGAGAAGCAGTCGGAGGAGAGAGAGTAGGTCGTCTCCGCATTGATCGGGTGCGGACAAATCTAGCGGTTGCTTCCTGCAACCAATACGCCATGTGGACTCTATTTTTAGTTATATGAAAGAGTCTCTGGGTCAATCTTCCAACTTATTTCCGATATAATATCTTCTATTTATTTTTTTTATAATTTTTTAAAATATAAAATTATTCAACATGCCTTACTTAAATCATATATTCTTAATTAATATATTTAAAGTTCAAATTAAGTTAACCAAAAAAATAAATGAATAATTTTTTTTAATGTATAATTCTAAAAGTTAACCAAAGTTATTGTTTAAGTAATATTTTAATTCTTACCAACCAGAGAAATTATTCATATTTAAAATGATTGTTAATGTTTCAATAAACCTTTTTTTTTTTTATATATATAATAATCAAATAAATGAGACAAAAAATTTATTTTTTTTTTCTTCTCTTTTTCCACTTTTTATTAAAAAGCAAAAAGAAAATATAATAATATACAATAATAATAGATAAGGAGAGATGCGCACCCCAATACCGGGTCCCGCTGTCCAGCAGGAGAACCAATCATCACAAGCGGGACCCACTGGCAAAGAAAAAACTGACGTGGCTTTATTCGAGGAAATTGAGCGCCAATGGTCAGGTCCACGTGGAAGTTAAAATGATGAGGTGTAAATTGGAAGCTTTGGGTTTTGTTAGTATGCGACAGGATGTAGAGAATCACGAAATTGAATGTTTTTTTAAATTTTATTTTTTGATTAATCCATGGTTTTTAAATAAAGAAAATGTTAAAAAGTTAGGCTAATGATTTTATAAAAAATTAACAAATCATTCGATTTTATCGATATTTTACATATACATAAAATGATAACCCTTAAATCAAGGGACAAAAAAAGATATTAGCTTGGGCCTTAGAATCAGATCAAAGAAGGGGTCCATAACAATCTACGATGGCTCGAGCCATCGACATGATGCGAGTAATCTTGTTCAATGTGTTCTTCGTCTTCATTTTGTTGTTGTCAATTTTCTTGTCTATGGAGGCTTTTGATGGCCAATTCATCAAAAAAGCTCGATTCGGATTGCCATGGAGGTGGTGTGATGCAGTTCGAATCGACTACGACACGAAGGGATGGATCGATGGGTCGGGGCGTAGGCAAAGATGGATTCGGATTACCTACTCGGAGATTCTGTAGTGTTGCAAAGGACTCCCTCATAGCACTCATGGCTTCAAAGAATCCAGTGCAAGAAGCTAAAGCTACAGGGATGGGCCTAAGCATTTCCTACATGGGAGAAGATTAATTCCAATGCTGCTTTTAGTGTTTGTGAATATCAAATTAGAGGAGGAAGAGATAATTAGGGTTACCCCCCACACTGAAGGCGACTCCCTAAAGTTCTGACTCCATTGGAGATCAGCAACTGAAGCTGTCAAAGCTCCATAATCACTAGCAGCCTTCCTCAACAACACGGAAAATTGTTTCTGCAAAACATTTCCATCAAGCATTGTCGTTTGTCGGTCAGTCAGTATAAAACAATGCCTTTCAAACTTTCTTCTACTTGTCACATGATCATACACTCATGATGAAGAATTTTATCCTTGAAATAGACAAAAGTTTATTGAAACAATGAGGTGTGAGATTCTACATCGGTTCGAGGGAACGAGGGGCGGATTGTGAGATCTCACATCAGTTAGAGAGGGAACGCAACATTCCTTATAAAAGTGTGGAAACCTCTCCCTAGTAAACATGTTTTAAAACCGTGAGTTGATGGTGATACATAACTGGCTAAAACGGGCAATATCAACTAGCGGTGGGTTTGGGCTGTTACACGAGGTTCCTTATAAGGGTGTGGAAATCTCTCCCTAGTAGATGTGTTTTAAAATCATGAGGTTGACGACAATATGCAACGGACCAAAACGAACAATATCAACTAGCGGTGGGGTTGGGCTGTTACACGAGGTTCCTTATAAGGGTGTGGAAATCTCTTCCTAGTAGATGCGTTTTAAAATCATGAGGTTGACAGCGATATGCAGCGGACCAAAACGGACAATATCAACTAGCAGTGGGGTTGGGCTGTTACACGAGATTCCTTATAAGGGTGTGGAAACCTCTCCCTAGTAAATATGTTTTAAAATCATGAGATTGACGACAATACGGAACGGGCCAAAATGGACAATATCAACTAGCAGTGGATTTGGGTTGTTACACGAGGTGTTTTAGGGTTCGGGTAGCAATTTATATGCCATTTTCTCATATAATCCTAGGAAAGTAGGTCATGGGATGTTACCAAAATTCAGTCCCCTCAGACACACAAGAAAATTGTAAAGGAATACTGAGCATTTCATTGATGGGCAAACCTGAAATTCTGCTTCCACTGGAATGCAATCGACTGAATACGGTTGCTGAAGACGAACTATTATACGATCCTGCAATATATTTGGGAATGAGGAGAAGAGGATACAAGAGATATCATAGCCTTTGAATCATGCATGCTCAAGTTCAAAGTATTGCTATCTTTCAAACACAAGTGGAAACGTACAAGACCTCTTAAAACCGAGGTCCTACTCTCAATTTTGGAGGTCGTTTATAAGAAAAAAGAGGTTAAAGAAAGCACCTTATTCTGGATGACACCTTTCAATATGGTAGTAATCCTTGATAAAGTCTCAATCTTCTTTTGCATTTCACTCACATGTGTCAAATGAGTTACATTCTTCTCATTCTAAGGACATATTTTCAGTTCATTCAGTACAATAATAAACTCCAGATAGATAGAAAACGTGCAAATTAACAATGAATAAGTACAATTGTAACGGCCCAATATAAGTAATTCTCCTCAAGGTTTTAAAACGTGTCTATTAGAGAGAGGTTTCCACACCCTTATAAGAAATGCTTCGCTTCCCTCTCTAACTGACGTGGGATCTCACAATCCACCCCCCTTGAGGATCCAGTGTCCTCGCTGGCACAACGCTTGGTGTCTGGCTCTAATACCATTTGTAAAGGCCCAAAGCCACTGCTAGCAGATATTGTCCTCTTTGGGTTTTACCTTTCGGGCTTTCACTCAAGGCTTTTAAAACGCATCTGTTAGGGAGAGGTTTCCCACACAAGGATAAAGAACACAATCCACCCCCCTTGAGGGCCCAACGTCCTCGCTGGCACACCGCCTAGTGACTCGCTCTGATACCATTTGTAACAGCCCAAGACCACCGCTAGCAAATATTGTCCTCTTTGGGTTTTCTCTTTCGGGCTTTCCCTCAAGGTTTTAAAACGCATATGTTAGGGAGAGGTTTCCACACCCTTATAAGAAATGCTTTGTTCTCCTCTCCAACCGATGTGAGATCACAATCCACCCCTTGGGGGCTCAACGTTCTCAATCGGCGTGGGATCTCACAACAATTTTATCTCATTTTGACGGTGAACACTTCCTACACATTAAAAGTTGAAACTGACAAAAGCAAAACCCAGGATACTCACCTTACGGCCTTGGAGTTCCACTTGAAGGTCTGCTATTTTCCTTTGAACAGCAGCAAGCTCTCGTAAAACTCTGATTAGATCATCACCCTGCTCACCAGTAGCAGCAGAAATATTTTGCAGGTCTTCCTGAATGAGACAAACTATCCCGTTTAAAATTTCAAGTTCTAAAGTTTCCGATTCTAAGTAGCGATGTACTATTAAACCAGAGATCACAAATAATGCACTACAATAGATACAAAAATTCAGAATTACTTGTATCCCATGTGTACTCTTGCAGTAAAAAAGGAGATACGGTCGTCTTTAGGCTTTCCCTTCAAGGGCTTCCCCTAAAGATTTTAAAACGTGTTTGCTAGGGAGAGGTTTTCACACCCTTATAAGGGATGCTTCATTCCCCTCTCCAACCGATGTGGGATCTCACAATCCACCCCCTTGGAAGTCCAGAGTCCTTACTGGCACACCACTCGGTGTCTGACTCTGATACCATTTGTAACAATCCAAACTTACCGCTAGCAAATATTATCCGCTATGACCCGTCATGTATCACCATTAGCCTCATAGTTTTAAAATGCGTCTGCTAGGGAACTTCGTTCCCTTCTCCAACCAATGTGGGATCTCACACCATCAGTCAAGAGGCTAGTAAGCAATTGACCCCGTTTTCTTAATGTAATGAACGAACAAAATTTACCTTCATTAAACCATTGCTACATAAATTTACCAAGTTCCATGATTTGAATTCAAATCCAAGGTATAACTAATTGCCCTGAGATGCTGACCTTTTTTTCCAGTTCAATATGCTTGTCAAGAATTCATCGAAAGCAATATACCATTTCCAAAAGCTAATTCACAAGCCACATTAACCTATCAACTTCTTCAAGTGATTCCAAAGACTATTTTTTAAAACGAAAGATCCATCTAGGAAACATAAAACTTAACAATACGTATAAGCAGACAGAGAGAGAAGGATCAGTGACCTGTGAAGGCGGAGAGACAGAGAAACCGAGATCGGCAGCAATTGAGAGGGCATCGGACATTCCTCCGATTCGCCTCAGAGGTTTCTTTCCAACCCATGTGGTATCACTTCCCATCGACATTCAAACCCCCCGCTGCAAAGCTCGACAAAGCAAAAGAAGAAAGCAGCTAAGACTGCAGAATTTTTATAGCATGGAGTCCCTAATTCTTAGAGAATTACACTCCGGATTTGAAATCATTTCCGGTGTTTGATTTGAATATAAAAATAAAAATGATTTGAAATTCAATCTGATTTGGAAATCCTAATTTCTCCCAACAAATTTTGGAATGAGGTTTAATTTGTCAGCATTTTAGATTAAATTTGAATTCATTCCAATTTTACCTATTTTCGAATGGGCTGAATTGAAGAAATCAGAATACACGAGGAAAAAAAAAAAAAAAAAGGAAGAAAAAGAATCGATCCTTTCGATTTCAGCAGTAGAGAGATAGCGGGATTACGAGACCTAGTCGACGAGCAACGGAATGCAGAGGGCCGTCGGCGACGAACAGAAGAAGGCTAGGTAGTCGGGCGTGCCAGCGTGGTTGCAGCAGAGAGAGTGAAAGTGAGAAGAGAAAGAAATGTTGCAGCACCGTTTCCGATAGAGGTATGTTGGCGTGAGACTGTGGCGGAGAGCGTCGTGCCGGCGTAGGTTGCGGTTGCCTGTGGCTGAGGCTGCGGCGGCGGTTTTTTTTTTCTTTTTTTTTTTCTTTTTCCCTCAAATTTTAATTTGGGTTTCCTCGGCCCAAACTTTTCAATTTTGTTTGTTGAATTATAAAAAAAAAAAAAAAAAAAAAAAAAAAAAAAAAAGTCCGTAAAAAAAAANTGTGGATATAATTTCAAATTTTAATAATTTAGTATTTAAACATTAATACTAAAAATTTAGCATTTCACTATGTAAATTGATAAATTAACAATGTTTATAAACTATAAAATCTAAATATTTAGCAATTTTCAAATTTATAATATATTAAGTTTAAAATTATATTTAATATGCTAATTATTTTTAAAATTTTAAAATTTGATAAGTACCTATAAAATACAAAAAAAAAAAAAATAAATAAATAAATAAATTTAAATATCTATTATAACCCGCCAAGTTTTCATTAAATAAGACAAATTTCAAAATTCGCGGGCTCTTCTGGCCATCAAAGCCCAGCATGGGTCTGGCTAAAAGTGGGGCCTAAACCGCCATGGAAAGCCCAAAAAGAGAAGGCCTTCCCGATTAGGGTTTATGCTTGGCGTCTATATGTACCGATTGTCATCTACAACATTCACCAATTCTAAATCAATCTGCATTCCCAGCTGCAGTCTTTCTGATACGGCGAGGTATTTTGTTTTTATTTGTTTTACTTCTGAGTTCATCCCAATGAGGAAATCCTTGAAATTGCAAGTGCCATATGACACTTAGTGAATGATATGAAATGGATCTCTGAAGGACTCCTTTTCGGTTATCGACCTTCGTCGTGTCGATGCTCCACCGCGGGTGGATGAAAGAAGGTTTACCGGCGACACTATTACCGGCAGTGTACGTAGCCGATCTCGCCATTGCCTCTTTTCCACTTTCTATTATTTGAAATTTTGTCAAAAAGTATCTTTTCTTCTGTTAGTGGATTTCAATTTGTTCATAACATTTATAGGAATGAGACGCAGAAATATTTTGATTAACACAACTTAGAATGTAGGTTTTCGATGAACAATCGCGTTTAAGCTTACAGAAGTTTTAATTTTCTATGGATACAAGGTTTTGATCCTTCGGCTTTCCATATTGATTAGCTACTTTGCCAGCCCCACTTTACTAGTTCAATTTAGAATTTGATGCTTTTAGGCTTCCAAATTATTATTATGCTTTTAGGCATTCTATTAAGAATATCTTTAAAAAATGGGAAAAATTCAAATCCGATCTTGGGAGTCTGCCTTGCCGGAAAGCCACTTTTAGATGTTTTGAAAAAAAAAGATGGGATTGGACTTTAGAACCCTAATTTCCCTCATATTTTTATTGCATCTACAAAAGCATGGATCAAATTCTCTACGATCGTCCAGGACCCACTTACAAATGGTCCACAAAAAATGTAAAGAAAGACAAAAAACAAAAGATTGAGATCAGGCCAAGGGTTTTGTTAATCTGAGTGGGGTAGAGAAGAAGGCTAAGCTGAAATTCAAATTCTAAGTTGGCGGGAAAAATCTGTTAAGATTGAATGGTAAAGTATAGAACTCTTCATTTCTGTTGTCTCCTCTGAACGTTCTGAACTTCACCCACCATGGCATTCCTCTATCTTTCTTTGATTTTTCTACCTCCAATGTGTTGTCAAGCAACACAGCCACTGCCAACGACACTGTTACTTGCGACGAGAATATTGTGTTCATAATCGCATTGAACTGCAAATCCATGTCAAACCCAACATTAGAACATGATAAACAAGCATGGCCTTTTTTTGCTTGGGTCGAGTAAGAGTTTACCCATCCAGCGTTCGAATGAACAAGCCCACGGTGGGTAGGGTTCCAGTATTCATTGAAAAACTGGGGGATGGATAATCCGAGAAACAGTGAAAGTCCTGTGATGATGAGGTTTCTCATTGAATTCATGTTTGTGAACTGGAGAAATGATAATCCGACCGAAGCTGAGAAACGCAAGCAGTTTTTGTCAGGTGGAGTGTAACTATGAATGAATGAAGTTTGTTCAAGTTTTGATGCGTACCGACAAGGCCGAAGAGTACACAGTAGAGTGCAGCGAAGATGGGGATTGGTATGGATGCAAAGACAGCTCCAAATTTACCTTAAAAAGAACCATCAAGTTGTAACTTGTTAGCGGTCTGAAGGCTAAATTGGATACCAAGATGTAGTGTTCTTACATACCCAAGGTAGAGAAAAATATCATGAAACCAGCAGAAATTTGAACAACCCTTCGACTTCCGACTCGGGTAAGCCCAAGAAGTCCCACATTTTCCCTGCATAACATAATTGCAACATTGATCGAGTTCATTCGTGTCGGAAACAGGAAGATGAAAAATAGAACAGACTCCATCTTACACAGCAACCGTTGCACCAGTGGTTGTTCCAAAGAGACCGTTCAGCAGGACGCCAATCCCCTAACAAGAAAGCAAACCATTTCAATCAGGGCCGTGCACAAACAACAGTAGGCAACCGGGTTAAACCAACCAGCTTACCTGCCAGCCAATGCCTCGGCTCAGTACATAAGCAGGAGGAGGGGTGGCAATTGCCAAGCGAGCGGCTGCCTTGTATGCACCGGTTGACTGTGATGAACATATTAAGAGTCAAGAGCAACTTTCAAGAGCACCGAGCTCACATTCATTTTCAGACTGTGAGGAGGAGAAATACCTCAACCATTGAAACAAAAACAGCAGCCATCATAGCAAATGAATGACCAGCTGAAAAAGTAGGAGGACCCCATTGCAAAGGGTATGGAAACTTGAACCTGAAACAGCAAACACATTCATGTGTTCTTTCAGTTCCAGCAACTCTATAAAGCCAACACCAAGAAAGTGAGTTTCTGCTCACCATGGGGCAGTGGTAATAAGATTTGCTCTATCAGTTCGGCAGCTTAACTGGGTTTTTATGGGCTTGTGCCGATACGCCCCGCTCGCGGTTAAGATAACAGAATAGATCCAAACAATTGTGACACAGATCAACACTGGAAATCTCTCAAAAATTGGAAGATCTCTGAAGAGTCTCACATGCTTTAGATACTGCAATTCCACCAGAGGTTAAGAAAGTAATGAACATACCAAGAGGACCGACTACAAGAGAAATGAACGCCACTTACTTGTGATGATCCAATGACAAGTATGAGCATGGGCAACCCTATTTCCACACACTCCCCCAGCTGAAAAACAAAAACTCCTTGTCTTGGTTACAAATAATGGAAGCAAAATCCAGGAGATAAACCCCAAAGCTCATGGAACCTACCACTGGAAATCCTCGTTGAAACAAGCCAAGGCCAACCAATCCGACAACAGGAGCCATTCCCAATGGACTGAAGAAGCTACACACACAAAGCAATGACATGATCAACGACATCGATAAGTGATACAAGATCCCCACAATTGTTTCATTGAAGTGAAGGAACATACCGTGAGAGTAAGCCCCAAACTTGGCTGTAACCGAGAATGATCTGTATGCTTGAGGCAACAATGAGAGCTCCTTGGATGGCACGCATTGTATGTAAAAATCTCTGCAAACGAATCACATGGGAAGATCTCTTTCAATACCCTGTATACAGACTATGTTATTCTGTATACAGGGGATTTCCTCTATTAAGATAGATGAAGATGAGAAACTTACTTCATGAGAATCGGTAATCCGTTGCAATGATGAGTCTCCGACAATGTAAGCTATAGGAACAACATAGGCAAAGGAGCCTCCAACTACTGCTGGTAATCTAGTTCCAAACAGTGCTTGGAGAAGTGTGTTTAAGCCAGCTACAAAAAGAAGAGTCTGAATGACTCGTGCTTTGTCTCCCTGAACAAAGAAAACGATAATATGAGATCAATCAAGTGTAAACGACGGCCAGAGAATGAAATGAAGATAACCAAGCTTACATTGTCTCCACCCATTGCTGGGACGATTAAAGATGGAATCATCACATTGGTGCCTAGCATCAGAATGTAATTCTGAAAAGCTAGTAGGATGGTTTCAGCTGCAAAACAACACCATTTTATATACTCAAAAATAAGAGTAAGTTGAGCGTTTATTTATGTAAATAGTAGCGGATATTGTACTTTTTGGGCTTCCCTTCAAGATTTTAAAACCTCAAGGTAGAGGTTTTTGTTTTGTTCTCCTTTTCAACTTAAATGGGATCTCACAATCCACCCCCTCTTGGGTTCAGTATCCTTGTTGGCAAACTGCCCGATGTCGGTGTCTAGCTCTGATACCATTTGTAATGGTTCAAGCCCACTGCCAACCAATATTTGTCCTCTTTAAGCTTTCATTTTAAAACCTCTGTTGGGAGAGGTTTCCACATCCTTACAAGGAATGTTTCGTTGGTGACATAAACTACCATCACCGTCTTAAGGCCTAGCAAGTGACTGATCATCAATAAAAGCAGAATTTTGGCAAAAATTTATCAGTGTATATCAGAAATCCTCAAAGGGGTTAGCATTCCTTGTGAATCAATTGGAAATGTGAAAGCTGGATTACAGTTTAGCATCCAAAGAAGGAAGCTTTAGAAGCTATAGAATCCCATTCCATTTCTTTTAAGATAATAATCTGAAGCAACATAATCAGAAGAAGCTTGCACAATAAGAACACGACAAAAAGCAGAGACCAACAAAAAATGGAGAGAAAACTCGTATTCACAAGTGCAGTTCGCCTAAGAAAAACACCAACCCGAAATTTCCACCAACACTGTAAAGCCGACCAACCATTTTCCCGACATGAAAGGCAATGAGTGGTTTTCCAGAAGGATTCTCAGTTGAGACAGAGACAGGGAAATGAAAATTGCAGAAAGTATAAGAAGAAATGTAAAGGGGGGAGAAGCATCGTACCCCAAGAGGGGTTGGAGTCTATGCAGTACTCAAGGTCTTGGAGCTGTTCCATGGGAGGGTGAGTGATGTCCTCCATTGTTGTGGCCTTCTTTTCTTTGTTTTTCTTCTTCTTCTCACAGACACAGCTGCTTTTGGTCGAAACGAAGAAGAAGAAGAAGAAGAAAGGGTAAAGTATAGATATAAAGTGAAGAGCAAAAGCAAGAGGGAAAGAAATGAAAAAGAACAATATGCAAAGCAGAAACCCTCCAACGCCAAGCCTCCCTTCGCTGTAGTTGAGAACCCTCTTCTTTTTTTTCCTCCTTTTTTTCCTCCTTTTCCCTTCTTTCCTTCCTCTCTCTCTGACTTGGAGTACGATGACGAAAATACCCCTCATTTATGCTCATAACTACGAAATAGCCATCCAAATTTTCATCCTGAATAGTACAGTAATAAATGGCCTGCAAATGGCGTACCCCACAAATACAGGTATTTACTTTATTTCAAAATTGACCATGTACAATTTGGAACTATTTAGGTAAAAAGATAAATTATTTTTGTTCCATGTCAATGACAATAGTAAACTACTTGAGAATGTGTTGAGATTTTTGGTCAAGACAATTGATTTTATTCTCGTGATGTTTATATAGATTCATTATACACGTCTGCTTCTAACATTGGATAAATTTGATAAATTAACTGTTCAGTTGTATCGTATTTGTTATTTTGTTTTTTTCTAGAACAATACCGAACATTCTTGTTCAATTGTATCGTATTTGTTGTTTTGTTTTTCTTTCTAGAACAATACCGAACATTCTTGTTTTCTTGACTCTTTTCGGAACGGGTATAAAGATGGTTGTTTAATTGAGTCAAGCCTATAAATTTAGACCCTTTTATTGGGTAACGATTTAGAGCAATTGGGAAAGTAAAATAATTTTTTTTTTCAACTTACCAATTCAATTCGTGGGAGGGCAAAATGGTCAAATGGCATAAATTGGAATGTCGAGGAGGAGGTGGTTTCGGCTGAAACGGCCTCACTACTAATAAAGATTTAAAAGATAAAAAACAATAATTAAAAAATAAAAAATAAAAAATAAAAAAAAATATTCCATCCTCCACAATATCCGACTCCACGGAATAAAAAATACAAGAAAAGTGGAAGACCCAAATTAACCTTTTTATTTATTTATTTATTCTTTTTTTTTTCTTTTCTTTTTTTAAAAATCTCCAAAATCCAAACCTATTTCTCACTAGATAAGAATCATCTTTATTTCGAGTTTCATTTGAGGGTTATGATGGGCACAAGTTTTTTTTAGAACAAGAACCAGTAGAATTCGAACATCTGATTTTTTAGTGAACGATTCAAGAAATTCTAGAAAAAACCACCTGCAAATTCTCCATCGGAATCTTTCTCTCGAACCCCACGAAACCAAACGTAAAATTTTACCGGAGCGTGCGTAACCAGGGCCCACTCGGGTGGGGTCTCTCTGTTCTTAAGTGTACCTAAAGGAGTAATTTTTAGGTGGATTTATGGCGATTTTAGGCAGCAAAAAGGTGGAGCAAAGTTGCATGACTCACTTTGACAGATCAAAACTCGAAACAGCAATCATATTGGTCATGGGTATTTGAGTTTCTTCCTCTCTTTCTCACCTTGGACTAAGAGCCCCTCGCCTTCCGCTTCCAAAACCGCCGCCCTCTGCCTTTTAACATTACCTTACCTGTGATTTCCGTTTCAAAACCGACCCAAAAGTTTGAAACTTGCAACTTTGAACCATCTCTACATCAGTTTTCAAATGCCATCCATATCCAGGTTTGGGGTGTGGCCCTGTCTGGGTTCTTGTCAAGTCCACAAACCAGTGTCCAAACAGCCGCTTTCTGATACATGCCTTCCCAAACAAGCCCTTTAAAAAAGGCTCCCCACTCCAACTGGGTTCGTCTTGCAGGTGAGGAGACAGACAGAGAATCTCGCATCTTTTAACTGCTCTTCATTAGTCCTGTAATTAGCAACTATTAATACAAGGAGTAAATGCAATTACATCAACTTAATTATGGATAAGAACACTTAAGTATTACTTTGACTGTAATGAAGCATATAATGTGTTGAAGGGAATAATATTGGTACTGGCAGAGGGGGTACATTGGGTATTAATTATCTTTTGGAATAAAGTCAGGGTTGACAGCTGAAGAATATGGAGGATTCCTCTATCCTTTTGTATTGCCTTTTCTCTCTTTCTTATTGTTTTACTTTATGCCCATCTTTCTTCAGTAAATGGCCCTTAAGAACACCACAGGCACTAACAGTTTTGTTCTAAGGAAAGAGAAAGAACAAAACAACAAAACCCATTAAAAACTAGAAGAAATTTGAATCTGTATGTAAAGAGACCCCACTGTATGATATGTATTATCCATACATAATTCCACAAAGAGATCAAAAAAACGGGAAAAAACGAGAACTTTTATGTACTAGCTCGAGCCCACTACGAATAGATATTGTCCTCTTTGGACTTCCCCTTAAGGTTTTAAAACATGTCCATTAGAAAGAGGCTTTCACACCCTTATAAGGAATGTTACATTCCCCTCTCCAATCAATGTGGGATCTCACAATCCACCCCTCCTTGGGGCCAGTTGACACACCGCCCGGTGTCTGGCTTTGATACCATTTGTATCACCCAAACCCACCGCTAGCAAATATTGTCCTCTTTGAGTTTTCTCTTCCGAGTTTCTCCTTAAGGTTGTAGAATATGTCCATTAGGGAAAGGTTTCCACACCCTTATAAGAAATGTTTCGTTTCCCTCTCCAACCGATGTGGGATCTCACAATCCACTCCCTTAGGGGCTCAGCGTCATCGTGTGCCCGATGTCTGGCTCTAATACCATTTGTAAGAGTCCAACCCCACCACCAGCAAATATTGTCCTCTTTGGGCTTTCCTTTAAGGTTTTGAAATGCGTGCACTAGGGAAAGAGAAAGGTTTCCACGCCTTTATAAGGAATGTTTCGTTCCCCCCTCCAACCGATATGGGATCTCACATTTTAACTACAAGGAATTATTTTTCATTTCAACAAGTAAAAGGGGAAAAATTCGAATCTCTAACCTTTTGGTTGAGAGTGTGTGCTTAAATTATTAAGCTATGCTCGAGTAGGAGACGAGAAGGCATTCTTGAAAAATGTAAACTTTTCTTTATTCTGCATCTATATAAAACAGTACCCAGCAAAGTGGCCAGGGTCAATCTCTGTATTACTTGTCGCTGCCATGGAAGTTGGGATTTAGTGCCATCTCGATCTCCTCCAAAGACCTCCCTTTAGTTTCCACTAAGAAGTACTTGGAAAATATGGCTGCCACCAAGGAGAATGCACCAAAGCTAGCATAAACTGGAGCAACTCCAAATGTTTGGACCAAGTCGAGAAAGAACAGACCCACTGAGAAATTGCATACCTGGGCATAGAGTATGATTTGAAGAAACAACATGTTAATATAGCAGCATGAAAAACACTCATGGAAGTTTATATGAAAGATGGCCCGTTACGTATCAACGTTAGCCTTATAGTTTTAAAACGCATCTACTGGGGAAAGGTTTTCACACCCTTATAAGGAATGTTTCGTTCCCCTCTCCATCTGAGGTGGGATCTCACAATCCACCCCCTTGGGGCCCAGCATCCTCGCTAGTACACCACCCGGTATCTAGCTCTGATACCATTTATAACAGTCCAAGCCCACCGCTAGCCGATACTATCCGCTTTGGCTCGTTACGTATCGTCATCGGTCTCATGGTTTTGAAACGCATCTACTAGGGAGAGGTTTTCACACTCTTATAAGGAATGTTTCATTCCTCTCTCCAACCGATGTGATATCTCACAAGAACATTTGCATGTTTCAAAACTTCACAAAGTATGTAATGATTCTGCTAATAATAGGTTGTTCTGCTTGCTTACCCAGTGAACTGCAAGGCTGAATCCCATGATCTTACCACGCGCTCGGTTGCTGCTAAGCTCGGGTATAATAATACCCGTCACTGGACCGGCTCCGATTGCGAAGGAAAAGATATAACTATGGAAATGAGAAAACAAAAGACACCCCAGTCAAGAAATCCTCTGAAACCAGTACATTTTCAACAAATTTTGTCGATTTTCTTTTAAAAAAAAGATGATAGTCTATGAATGAGTTTGCAATAAATAGTGCAGAATTCGTCTCTATCATGAATAAAGAGTGAGCAAATACTTACGCAATAGTTCCTACTATTGATAAGTTGTGACTCAGTTCTTCATCAAGCTGGAAACTAATGGTAGAGACAATAAGCAACATTGAAACTGCCTGCACAGAGATGAAAATTTAAGAGTATTATGGGACGTGTAATAAAAGTAGACATTGTTCTGTTTGAATTTTCTCTTCCGGGCTTCTCTTCAAGGTTTTAAAACACATTCATTAAAGAGAGATTTCCACACCCTTATAAGAAATGCTTTGTTCCCCTCTCCAACTGACGTGGGATTTTTCAATCCACCCCCTTGGAGACCTAGCGTCCTCACTGGCACACCGTCTGATGTTTGGCTATGATACCTTTGTAACGGCCCAAGACCACTACTAGCAGATATTGCCCTTTTTGAGCTTTCCCTTTTGGGTTTCCTCTCAAGGTTTTAGAACACGTCCACTAGGGAGAGGTTTTCACACCCTTATAAGAAATGTTTCGTTCCCCTCTCCCACCGATGTGGGATCTCACAATCCACTACCCTTGGGGACCCAGCGTCCACGCTGGCACACTGCTCGGTGTCTGGCTCTGATACCATTTATAATAGCCCAAGCCCACCGCTAGCAAATATTAACTTCTTTGGGCTTTTCCTTTCGAGCTTCCTCTCAAAGTTTTCAAACATATCTACTAAGGAGAGGTTTCCACACGTTTATGAGGAATGCTTCGTTCCCCTCTAACCAATGTGGGATATCACAAGATGTGTACCGTCTTGCCTTGAAATACCTCTGTCATTAAACTCACCATTCCCAAATAGCTTCCAATTAATAGCCTCTGCCTCCCTTGCTTATCCATCAGGTTCAACGCACAGAGAGCACCTGTTGAATACCAGACTAACGAATGAATATATTTTCTAAGGAAAAAGATTTTGCATACAGATAAGTTCATCAAATAAAGAAAAATTTTGAGTACCAGCAAAGTTGGTAATTCCAATAACTAAACTTGCTAAAGCACCATTTGTGATTCCAACGTCTTGAAAGGTTAACGAAGAAAAATAAAGAACTCCATTTATGCCAGCAAACTGTTGAAGGAAGAAAAGGGCACCTCCAATGAATGCCACTGTAATTAAGCAAAGAAATGAGAAGGTCATATGAAGTACAATTGCATTGTTAAACCGAATAATTAGACCTTTTAACTAAACAAGCCCATCGCAAGCAAATATTGTCCGTTTTGACCCATTACGTGTCTCCTAGGGAAAGATTTTCATACCCTTATAAGGAGTGTTTCGTTCTCCTCTCCAACTAATGTGGGATCTCACAATCCACCCAC